CAAGGTGGGCCCTTGGCCCTCCGGATTACAACAACAACGGCTCCCGTCTGAGACTTCTTCCAAATTTACTCAGGACCCCCGCTCCCGCCTGAGACTCCATCCCAATTTTCTTAGGATCGGTGCTCCCGCTTGTGACTTCCTCGCAATTTATTCAGGACCCCCGCTCTCATTTGGGATTTCTTGACAATTTACTCAGGAAAGGCGCTCCCGCTTGAGACTTCCTCGCAATTGAGTCAAGACTTCCTCGCAATTTAATGAAGACCCCCCGCTCCCTCCGGAGAACCCTTCACATCGTATTCAGGAATTGCGCTCTCGCCTGTGACTCCCATGCAATTTATTCAGAAATCACGCTTTCGACGCTCAGGAAACACGTTGCGCCAAGGACGCCGTCACAATTTACTTAGGAATCGCGCTCTCGCCATATTCAGGCATCCCGGTTGAATGTCTTACCCGCCCGACCCGCCCGTCAAGGGATCGCCCGTCCGTCGTGGGCTCCTGCCCGAGACTTCCGTCAGGAACGGCGCTTTCGCCTAGGATATCTTCGAACGTTCACGCTATTACCTTCCTGCTCTTTCTCCCGCTCCCTTCTCCCTCCTCCCTCCTCTCCTCCGTTCTTTCTCCCTCCTCTCTTCCCTCATCCTTATGCCTCTCTGCCCTATGCCCCTCCCTCCTCTCCCTCCTCCCTTCTTCCTCCCCTCTCCTGCCTCCTCCCTTCGTCTTTCTTTCTTTCCTTCTCTCTCTCTCTCTCTCTCCCCTCTCTCTCTTTCTTTCTTTACCTCTCTCTCTCTCTCTTTTTTTTTTTTTTTTTTTTTCTCTCTCTCTCTCTCTCTGCCTCTAATCAACCGCCCCCCTCTTTGTTTTTTCTCTCCTGGCATTTTCCCTCTTCCTTCGTCCCTCCCCCTCCCTTCCTCCCACTCTCCCTCGTTCTCGCCTTCCTCTCTTTACAGAGCCCACACTAATTCCAATCGTGGGCACATGTACGCCCACGATGGATTGTCCACCCGTTCAGGTTAGCCCGCCTGACAAAGCCCGCCGCCTCCCGCAAAGAGAAACAATCTCCCCAAAGGGGGTGTGATGGAAGACGGAAAGGGCGGGCATCGAGGGTGTGGGGAACTCGTTTTGAATGACACACGGGCAGGTAAGAGCGAACAGTCTTAGAATGATTGGTGTTGAGTTTTTCATTTCTGAAGAATAATTATTGTCGATGCTCCCTCGCCGGAACATATTGTTTTTTCTCAGTCAAAGTGTGCCCCTCGAGGCTCGCACAATGTGTGTTTTGACAGGGAAAGTCTTCCTGGTCGAAGTGGGCCCCTGGCCCCCTGGACTACAACAACAACGGCTCCCGCCTAAGACTTCCTCCAAATTTGCTTGAGAGTTCTTCACAATTTACTCAGGAAAGGCGCTCCCGCTTGAGACACCCTCACAATTTTGTCCGGGTCAAGCTGCGTTGTTGTTCCCCGGGACTGCAACCACAACGTCTCCCGCTTGAGACTTCTTCCAGCTTTACTCAGGACCGTCGCTCCCGCCTGCGTCTTCCTCCCAATTGACTCAGGATCGGCGCTCCCGCTAGTGACGTTTTTTTTTTTTTTTTTTTTTTTTTTTTTTTTTTTTTTTTTTTTTTTTTTTTTTTTTTTTTTTTTTTTTTTTTTTTTTTTTTTTTTTTTGTATATATATATATATAAGAAACAGTCAGGACCCCACCTCCTGTCTGAGGCTTTACAAATTACTTAAGATCGGCGCTCCCGCTTAAGATTTTCTTGCGCTTAGTCTAGACCCCCGCTCCCGCCAGACATCCCCTTTTCAGGAATTGCGTTCTCGCTTGTGACTGTTTCATAGTTTATCCAGAAATCGGGCGTCACGTTCGCTTCCAACACTTCGCCGAGCAGCACCAGAGGTGTTACATGGCGCTGTTTATGGCGCGACCCATGGCGAAGCCTTTGTTAGCCTGTGTTGGAATGGCTGGCGCAAGCCATGGCGCAAGCTGAATCGCACCTCGCGGCACAAATCATCGTCGTCCCTTCCTCTTGCCCCTCTAATCTCTCCCTTCCTCCGATCCCTTCGTCCTCTCTTTTTGTCATTGTCCTTTCGCTTCCCTGTTTAGGGGCTTCTCCAATCACACGTGGCCAGGAAGGAATATAACCTCGCAAAAAAGGGGTACGATCGAAGACGAAGAAGGCGGGTATCCAGGGTTTGGGATATGCATGGTGGATGACACGCGGGCTGATAGGAGCGAACAGTCTTGTGATGATTGTTGTTGTTGTTGTCGTCGTTGTCGTTGTCGTTGTCGTTGTTGTTGTTGTTGTTGTTGTTGTTGTTGTTGTTGTTGTTGTTGTTGTTGTCTTTGTTCTTGTTTTTGTTGAATCTACATTTTGAGGCAGTACTTATTGTTGATCTCCGGAAACGGGTCCGCGCGCTCTCGCTTCAACGCCGGCTACAGTGTCTCTGAAAGCGAGGCTCCCCCGCGAGCGTTGGTTTGAGTGTAACAGTGGGCCTTTGGAGGCCCATGTGCGACGACAACGGTTCCCGCTCGATATTTTCTTACAATTTAACCCCGGTACACCCTGACCAGAGAGGCCCCCAGACTCAGGAACGGCGCTCTCGTTCGAGATTTCCTTGCAATTCAGTCAAGATGGCGGAGGCCAACCACGACGACACGGGCTTCTGTTCGATATTTCTTCGCGATTTACTCCGAGAGCTCCTGGCCAGGAACGCTCCCGAAGTCAGGAACGGCGCTTTCGCTCGAGGTTTCCTCGTGATTCTGTCGGTTTGGTCGAGGCCCAACTACGACGACAAGGGCTCCCGTTAGATATTTCCTCAAAATGTATTCGCAGAGGCCCTTGCCAGAGAGGCCCCCGAACTCAAGACTGGCGTTCTCATTGTACCGTTTCTCCTAATTCAGGCAAGTGGGTGGAGGCCCAGACCAGACACGGCGACAAGGGTTCCCGTTCAAGGTTTTCCAAGCGACAGAGGCTCCCGAACTCAGGAGCGGCGCTCTCGCTTGAGAGTTCCTCGCGTCTCAGTCAGTGGCCGACGAAAGAAGATATTCCACCCGAAAGGGGGTGCGATCGAAGACGAAGTGGGCGGATATCGAGGGTTGGGGTATACAGACTGCAAGACACGCGTGCCAGTGAGAGCGAACAGTCTTAAATTGTTGTTGTTGTTGTTGCTGTTCCTTTTTCTGTTGTTGTTGCTGTTGATTGACTCCTCATATTTGAAGAATAATTATTGTTGATCCCCCCGCCCAGTGCACATGGTATTTGTTTCTAATATATATATATATATATATATATGTATTTTTCTAGTGTATATATATATAGCCCTCCGAACCCACCAAGAACCCCCCTTTCTCATGATTCTTTAAGAATTTATATATGATTCCCTTCCGAACCCACCAAGAACCCCCCTTTCTCATGATTATATATATGACTTTATGTATGATTCCTACGATTTTCGGACTCCATTTTGACGCTCTTTTTTGGAAGACTTTTTGGGCTCAAGTTCGGAACGATGTTCACCCACTGCAAGTGCAGCCGTCTACTCAACTCCCTCCGTCTCCAACACAACACTCAGTACTCAACAGCCTCCTTCTCCAACACAACACCCGATACTCAACAGGCTCCCTCCCCAAGCTGAACTTGAAAATAACCTTCTACTCAACTCCCTGCGTCTCCAACACAACACCCAGTACTCAACAGCCTCCTTCTCCAACACAACACCCGATACTCAACAAGCTCCCTCCCCAAGCTGAACTTGAAAATAACCTTCTACTCAATTCCCTCCGTCTCCACCACACCACCCATTACTCAACAGCCTCCTTCTCCAACACAACACCCGATACTCAACAGGCTCCCTCCCCAAGCTGAACTTGACAATATCCTTCTACTCAACTCCCTCCGTCTCCAACACAACACCCAGTACTCAACAGCCTCCTTCTCCAACACAACACCCGATACTCAACAGGCTCCCTCCGTCTCCAAAACACAAGTATTCCAGATCCAACCACCACAACACGACGCGACACCCGAAACTCCAACCGCACCCGCCCCCCTTTTTTCTTGGCATCTTCCAAGAGAAAAGGGGGGTTCATGGTGGGTGCTGCGGCCTATATATATATATATATATATATATATATATATATATATATATATTGTCAGGGAAAGTTTTGAGGCTCAAACTGTGTCGTTGGCCCCGGGTTGACACCAATAACGGTTCCCGCCTGATATTTCCTTACAATTGATTGAAGACTCGCGATCTCTTCTGGGCCCCTCTTCCTCCGACGCCTCCTCTGCCTTCTCCGCCTCCTCTTCTTTTGCGTGCTTCATCGTAGTTGTCGCCGTCGCTGTTGCCGGCGCCAGCGCCGCTGTCTACGTTGTCGCCGTCGTCGTCGTCGTTGTCGTCGTCGTCGTCGCCGTTGTATTCGTCCATCGTCGGTCGTCGCCGCTGTCGCCGTTGCCGTTGCCGTGTCGTCGTCGTCGTCGTTGTCGGTCGTCCTCGGTCAGTCGGTCGGTCGTCCTCGGTCGGTCGGTCGTTCAGTCGGTCTGTCTTTGTCGCCGTCGTTGTGGTCGTCGTCGTCGTCGTCTTTGTGTTCGTCCATCGTCGGTCGTCGCCGCTGCCGCCAGCGCCATCGGTCGTCGTCGGTCGTCCTCGGTCAGTCGGTCGGTCAGTCAGTCGGGCGTCGGCGTCGGCGTCGGCGTCGTTAACCGTCGTTAACCGTCGTTCGTCGGTCGTCCGTCGTCGTAGTCGTCGTCGTAGTCGTCGTCGTCGTCGTCGTCGTCGTCGTCGTCGTCGTCGTCGTTTCGTCGTCGTCGGCGGCGGCGGCGGCGGCGTCGGCGTCGGCGTGGTCAACCGTCGTTCGTCGGTTTTCCGTCGTCATCGTCGTCGGCAATCGTCGTCGGTCAGTTGGTCGGTCACCTGGCCTGCCTTGGTCCGTGTTGGTCCGTCTTGGTCGTCGCCGCCGCGCCAACGCCGCCGCCGCGGCCGTTGGTCGGCGGGCAGTCGCTCAGGAGCTGTCGGGCAGGCCCACCTACGGGCGCGACGAGCTGCTGGCCGTTCTGGCCAGCATGCCGCTCGGCCCATCTGGCGGCGACGGCGGCCGCGGCGCAGGCGCCCGCTGTAGTAGGGAGAGCCGCGGGCCCCTCCCCTCTCGGCGGGAGCGCGTCGCCTTCTCCTCCTCGTCGTTCTGCTTGTAGTTGTCCTCGCCCTCGTCGTCGTCCTCCTCCGCCTCCTAGCCGGCCCTAGTGAGAAGTCAGGACCGTTGCACAATCAAATCGCAGGGGATTTTGCCAGATTCTTGCAAGGCACCAGTCTAGGTGTGTTGACGTTGACCCCCTTATGCTGATGTCCTGTCCTGTCCTCCTCCTCCTCCTCGTCCTCCTCCTCCTCGTCCTCCTCCTCCTCCTCCTCCTCCTCCCCCTGCGTCCCGGCAGGAGCGTTGCCTTCTCCTTTTCCATCCTTGTCTCTTACAGAGGGTTCCTCCTTCTCGCACCACTCGATCGCTGCCCTATCCCGCGTCGCCGCTGATCTCCGGCTCCCAATGGACATCGGCACCAACCTTGTTGGACAGCCACACCTGCTGTCCCAAACCGTGTTAATTTTTTATGGCCTTGGAGGAAATGGCAGTCCCAGCCCTTTGCATTTCTCATTGGTAGCGGGGCAGACTTTGGTTTGCGGCCCACCCATAGCTCCTTGTTCATTCCGTGCCATCTCGGCACCCGGAGTGGGGAGACTGCATTGGCGTTGCAGGAATTTTCCCATTCAGCTTTGGATTTCGACGACGTGGATTGCTGGACCCGAGCATGGCACTGCGCCCGCGAGCGCCATGAGAAGCCATGTCTGGGAGATCTCCCAGCACAGCCGGCGCCCCTCCCCGCGCCCCCCTCTCAGATAGGGGGAAGCATGCGAACCCTACCCCTACCCCCCACGATTTCTGAGGGGGAGTGTGGGGTTCACTTCGCTCGGGAGCTCCCGAACGAAGTGAAGCCCACCCTCCCCCTCAGAAATCGTGGGGGGTAGGGGTAGGGCTCGCATGTGGCCCCCTATCAGAGTCCTAGCAAGAGGGGCCGGTGCGCGGGGTTTCGCGGAATCTCGGGATCGCTTCCGCTCAGTAGTTTTAAGTCGGGCCTGTCCCTCTACAGGAGGAATATCCAAAAATAGTTTAAAAACAGTCAGGGGACGAACTTGTTATCAGTATTCTTGATCATGTTTTGCATTCCAGATATTTGTATGATTTCCCTAAAGCCCGCCAGTAGGGGGACATGCCCGACCTAACAGTAGTTGTACATCCATTCCAGTGCATCCGAAAGGTGCTTGACGCCAGAGCGGCCCCACAGCGGCCCCAAGAGGGCCCCCAAACGACCAAAGACGGTTCCAAGAGTCACCCGTGCGGCCCCACACCGGCCCCAGAGGCCCCGCAATCGTTTAGTCCCCCCAGAGGCCCCCCGCACAGCTCCCCATGAGGCCACGAAGCGTGTGAAGGGTGTGCCGGTGTGCCGACTTGGGTTTGCCAACACATGTGAAACTTGCCACTGGGGCCTTCGTTGGAGCCCCCTGTGAGGCCACGCAATGTGTGAGGGGTGTGCCGAAATGGGCCTGGGGACGCGTGTGAGCCCTGCCACTGGGAGCTTCGGTGGAGCTCCCCTGAGGCCACGAAGCGTATTATCGATGTGCCCACAATGCGTCTGACAATTACGATGATGATGGCGATGACGGGGATGACAGTGACGACGACGATGACGATGACGACGGTGACGATGGCGATGTTGACGATGATGGCGAGGACATGGAGGAGAGCAGAAGCGGGAGGACGGAGAGTCAGGGGCAACGATAGGGGGGGATAGGCATAGGGGGGATGCATCGACCCCCAATCGCCCATTGATCGCCGATAGGAGCCCGATAGCCCCAACCTGCCGAGGAAGGTGCGGATTCACTATCGGAGGCCTATCGCCGATCTATTGGCGATATATCGCCGATTCCAGGTCGATGCATCCCCACCTATGCCAGTTCCCCCTGTCGCTGCCCCTTAGAGAGGGAGGGGGAGGAGGAGAGGAGAGTCTGGTTGGAGGGTCCAGAAGGGACGCATGTTCACCAAAATGTTTTCTCATGCAAAGACCACCGCTATTGATGTCTAGGGCTGGGATACTCGGCGGGGCGATGCGTGTCAGAATGCGAGGGCCCCAAATATCCGCAGGACCGTGGGGGAAGACCACGAGCGAAGGCCTCGCAGGCCGCCCCCGTGTCGCGCTCCCCACCTTCGGATGCCTCGCGGGCGGCTCGCCCGGCGCTCCCAGCGGCCAATCGGGGTGAGAAACAGTCGGGGCTCAAGAGGCGATCGTTTTCTTACTTCTTGTTTTGCCGATCGGCGCGGGCCCTTGCCTTCCCCCCCCCTAATTTGAGTGGATCTTGGCTGTTTTTTGGCGCCTGTTTCAGGCAGGTGGAGTCTCCCCCATGCGGCGCACTGCTGCAAACAGACGCGTCAAGCAGAGGTCTGGAGGCAGACGCCCCCCCTCCCTTCCGCCCAATGTCGAAACGCCGAGTAGATTACCCTGTGACGTACCCAACCCTTTCTATACATGTGGCGATTATACTCGGGACCACTCAATGCTGACTGGCATTCTGAAGGACCCGCAGTGCGCAAGAAGAGCACCCAGCAGTGATTTCAGAAGAGCGCAGCAAGAAGAGGAACGGCAAATATGCAAAATGAGCCCCCCAGGAGGCGGCGAGGTACCGAGGTGTGGTCCGCGTGGGACGTGCCTCCGCTGGGCCTCCCAGGAGCCCACGAAAGTGGCAACAGTTGCGCAGATCGCAAGCCCCCCAGGGGGCGGCGGGGTACCGAGGTGGTCCGCGTGGGACGCACCTCTGCTGGGCCTCCCAGGAGCCCACGAAAGTGGCGACAGTTGCGCAGATCGCAAGCCCCCCAGGGGGCGGCGAGGTACCGAGGTGGTCCGCGTGGGACGCACCTCTGCTGGGCCTCCCAGGAGCCCACGAAAGTGGCGACAGTTGCGCAGATCGCAAGCTTTCCAGGGGGCGGCGAGGTACTGAGGTGGTCCGCGTGGGACGTACCTCCGCTGGGCCTCCCAGGAGCCCACGAAAGTGGCGACAGTTGCGCAGATCGCAAGCTTTCCAGGGGGCGGCGAGGTAACGAGGTGGTCCGCGTGGGACGTACCTCCGCTGGGCCTCCAAGGAGCCCGCGGAAGTGGCAACAGTTGCGCAGATTGCAAGCCCCCCACGAGGCGGCGGGGTACCGAGGTGGTCCGCGTGGGACGTACCTCTGCTGGGCCTCCCAGGAGCCCACGAAAATGGCGACAGGTGTGCAGATCGCAAGCCCTCAGTGATCGTACCCCCTAGGCAAGCCCACCCAGCAGACAAGACGGCGAGGCAGGAATCAGGAACCAGACGGCAGGAGAGCACAGAAGGCAGGAGCGAGGAGGCGGGAGAAGGGGGGTGGAGACCACATTGCTATTCACAACGAGAACCCAACACAGGAGGGTTGGGACAAAAACGCTCACGAGACGGGGGTCAATGCAAGCGGGGGTCAGCCAGGGCGCCAGATCCTGCAGGATCCTGCAGGGCTAGGGGCGCACCGACTCTGGCTCGGGTGCATGACGGCGCAGAACCTTGCAGGATCCTGTTGGATCCTGCAAGGCCCGACTGACCTCGGAAGCCGGGCAAGGGCTGCTAAATCCGTGGCTGCTGAAATCGACCTCCAGGAAGTTGTCTTCGTCCTTCGGGAAGAAGCCCGTTGACTGTTTCGCGTGCCGCGCCTCATTCGGGGAAGTTGTTTGTTCTTTCCGGGATGGCCGTTTTAGCAGCCACGGTTTTAGCAGCCCTCGCCCAGCTTTCGATGACCCGGGTCTGCATTGACCAGTGCGTCCCCGAAGTAAGTCGCGTCTCGAGTGCCAGCCTCCTTCGGCACTGCTGCAGGCCCTGAAGAAAAGGCGCGCAGCGCATCTCAAGAGCACCCTCTCCGATGGTGCATGCAATAGGTAAGAAACAACGAGCTTCTCGAGCGCAACGCCCCCAGAGTACTGAAAGCTGCGCGCGAGGAGCACAACTCGTCCCAAGAGAATCGGAGCTTCCATGCGAGAGCCCCATTTCGAAGAAAGACCCCACTTCCATCCTCCAACATGCTGAGTGCGTTGAAGGTGAATGTGAGCGGAGCTACGACGAGAGCCACACTTTAGAAACCAGCCGCCCTCCATTATTGTGATTGCTACAAGCTCTGAACGAATGCACACGGCGCTAACTCAAGAGCCACATTGCGGAAACCAACCGCCCTCTACCCTTGTAGCTGACACAAAATTTGAGACGAATATGCGCGGCGCCGAAACGAGAGCCCCATTGTGAAAACCATCACGCCAGCACCCCGCCCTCCTTGTGACGGCTGCAAACTTTAAACCGAATGCGCGCGGCGCTAAGGTGAGACGCCCATTCTGAAAAAGTTTCTCCTCACCGCCCCTTTCCTGGCAGTCGTTGCAGACGATGATGACACACTTGCGCGGCGCAGGGGCGAGAGCTCGACTTTCGAAAGCAGAGGGCCCTCTATCCTCGAACCACCTGCAGTCTGTGGAACGACCGCACGCGACGCCAAGTCGAAAGCCCCAATGTGAAAACCACCGCTTCATCCATCCCTGTGACTGTTGCACGTTCTCAAGCCCGAGTGGAGTACGTAGGTGGACGTGAACGTGAGCGTGAATCGCTGCACCGCCGTTGCCAGAAAGCCGGATCATGTGCAGGAGGATGATGATTTGTGGTCGCGTGGGTGTCGGAGGATAGTCAATGTCTACGTGGGTACAGGCGGGAAGACGAATACGCTGGTGGGCAGCACCAGCATGGACCTCGCAGTGCACTTCGTCGAGTGTTGCTGCACCCCGCTGCGTGCCGCAGCACTTGCGAGTGAGACAGGAGTGACCTGTCCCAGGCACTACAGGCCCAGAGGAATTGAAGCGATGATGATTATGACGAGGATGCTGATGCTGATGATGATCATGCTGGTGATGAGATGATGATACTGTTGATGATTGTGGTGATGATGTTGATGGCGGTAATGAAGGTGATGCTTATCGTGGTGGTGATGATGATTGTGGTAGTGAGTATGACGATGCATTTGCTGATGACGATTATGATTATCATGATGCGACTGATGATGCTGATTGTGATGGTGATGGCGGTGATGGTGATTTGGATGCCGACGACGGCGACGTCGACGAGGACGACGATGATAACAACGCTGATGTTGTTGGTGGTGGTGGTCGTGATGGTGATGTGAATAATTCTGAAGAAGAGGATGATGAGGAACAGGAGGAAGATGAAGAGAAGGAAACGGAAGAGGAACCGAAGAACGATTATGCAAAGGAGGAGAGGAATACGAGGAGGAGAAGGGGGAGGAAAAGGAAGAGGAAGTTCGCCCGGAGGTATTCAGACCATCAAGTTCGAAGCGCCTCCTGGTCTCGAGCCCCTCGGGCTCGGCCCCGCCCCCGTGGAACAGCAGGACCCCTGCGCGTCGGCGGCTGCCGTCGAACCCGCCGTCGTCGTCGTCGTCGTCGGAAGAAGACGAAAACTTCGTACATCCTGGATGGAGCTGTTTTTCTTTTACATTGCGACAACGGGCGTGACCGTGGGGGATCGGGGGCGGCGGCGGGTCACAGGATGGTGGGGGGGCGCCAGGACCGGTCACGGGCGTTTTCGCGAATAACTGACCCATGGGTTCATGTCCTCGGGCCTCTGCATTTTCCGACCAGCAGCACCTCGTCGAGGGCCCCCTGCGGGGGCCGAGGTGTGTCCCGAGCGCTCGCCCCGGGTCCGCGTCGTGCCCCGAGGGCCAGCCGAGGGTGGGCCCGGGCCCCCTGAAACAGGGTTGTGACCACACCGCGTGGTGAGCCAGCGGGGACTTCGGTCACCCCGCGGTCTTGGGACTCAGGCTCCGAGGACGTCTCGGGTGACCAGGGGCCTTGATCCGGAGCTCCCAGGCCGTGTGGTGACCCAGAGATCCGATGTCGTGATTTTTTCAATGCGCGGTCCCCAGAAGTCTCGACCCATTCCCCAGGACCGATTCTTCATCCCGAATCGTTCCTTGACGGTCCCGAGGCCTGGCGAGGGCCCTCAGGGGCCGAAATTTGGGGCGAACCTCCGTCCTGATTTTTCAATGCGTTGAATCTCTGGGCCTTGTAGGGGCCTCTGGGCGCGTCTTGGGGCGAGGTGGAGGGCCTCTATAGCCGTCTTGGACGCTGCGAGGACGAAAAAACGGAACATAGCGAAAATGTGCGTTTTCCGTCGGGAGTGGGACGATTTGGGCCTCTTGGGGCTCTCCTGGAGGCCCTCCTGGGCCGTCTTGGGATCCTCTTGGCCTGCCTTGGGGGCCTCTGGGGCTGCCTTGGGGCTCCGACGTCACTGCGCGGTCGGGCGCCGAAGTGGAGGGCCCCCGGACGCCCCAGCGCCCGCCAGGAGGGCGGCGCAGGCAGTCCCGCCCCCGCCCTCTCGGGCACCGGGGCCTCTCGGCGGAGCGATCCTGGCTTGGAGGAGCCACGCTTCTCCTCCTCCTCCTCCTCCTCCTCCTCCTTCTCCTCCCCTCCTCCTTCTCCTCCTCCTCCTCCTCCTCCTCTCCTCCTCCCCTCCTCCTCCTCCTCCTCCTCCTCCTCCTCCTCCTCCTCGTCCTCCTCCTCTTCCCCTCCTCCTCCTCCTCCTCGTCCTCCTCCTCCTCGTCCCCGAGCGCTTCCTGGGCACATGCTGGCCGGGCCACGACGTCGGGCCTCGGGGGGGGCGTCCAGAGGGGTCGCCGCTCCAGTCCTCCCAGATAGGGTCCAAGTGCACGGGGTCGGGGGGATCTCGCCGCATCGCCGATGCATCGGCGCTGCGTGTCGATGCGGAGCTCGGTGTTCTCCACGCCGACGTCGCCGATGCATCGCCGACGTCGCTGGTGCATCGTCGACGTATTGGTGATGCATCGGCCATGCGGCGCGATCATCGGACCCCCTCTACCCCGACCCCAACTGGGAGGCCTCTAACCACCTAGGAGGAGGAGGAGGTGGAGGAGGAGGAGGAGGAGGAGGAGGAGGAGGAGGAGAACCACCCCCTTCAGGGGCAACGCTGGGGGGTAGGGGGAGAGGCTCAGGGGGGTCATGCATCGCCACCCACTCGCCCACTTGTCGCCGATGGGGGCCAAGCAGCCCACCCAGCCCAGGAGCGTGCGCATTCGCTATCAGGGGCCGATCGCCGATCTCAAGATCGGCGTTAGCCCTATCGCCGATCTTAAATCGCCGATCTTAGATCTGCGATAGATCATCTATCGGCGATGTATCGCCGATTCGAGGTCGATATCTCCCCCCTGAGCCAGTCCCCCCCCTGAGCCAGTGCCCCCTAGCGTTGCCCCCCTCACACCCGGGCCCAGACCGGGCCGCCCCGCCGGGAAGGGGGTGCAGACGCGCCCCCTGGCCATGAGCGAGCCACACGGTGGGGACGCGCGCCAAGAGACCGTTTGTGTTCCGCCAGTGTCGGGCCGGACGAAACGGGGGGATTGGGAAAGGCCCCCTGTCTCGCTCGAGCGTCGGTCGTTGTTCTGGGCAGCCTCGGCTGCCGGGCTTGCTTTTCCACGCGATGTGCGTCTTAGCTATCATCGGGCCTCGTGGAAGAAGGACTTACGTAAACATGCTTTTGGGGCTCCGCGCGGAAGTCCGGGCCGGGCGAAAGGGGGGGATTGGGAAAGGGGGGGTTACGAAATTTGCTGCATGCAGCTGGCTTCGGCCCCACCGAGGGGCCCATTCCTCGATACGCAGCCGCCTCCGGCGCCGGGAGGCGCCTGGAAAACCAGCTACGTGAGCTGATTCTCAACCCCCCCCTTTGCTATCCCCCCCTTTCGCCCGACCCGACAGTGTTCTCCAGGTTTCTACGGTAGGTTCGCGTCGTGGCGACCGGCGGCGACCCCGCCGCGGGCGTTCAAGGTTTGAACGCAGCCACTGGCCCCGAATCGTCCTACATGGAACGATCGGGTGATTTGAAAGCCGCCGATCGTTCAACATTGAACGATCGAAGCGGTGTCAGAGATCAACGCCAGCGTCGTCACGACACGAACCTGCCATCAGGTTTCCCATACCTGCCATCGTCACGCCTCGGCAATACCTGCCATCGTCACGCCTCAGGCAATGGGGAACCCAGGTTTCTCATACCTGGAATCCATCATTTACTTCGCTTTGAGGGTCCGGGTTTCCTGCGGTGTTTTTTTGGGGGGGGGGCCGAAATCCTATCGTGTGCGCCGCCTGGGGACCTGACGTGTTATGGCCCTGGGAGGCGGTGGATCTGGATGCGTTCGGGCCCCTATAGTCAGGAGGGGAAAAAGCACACAGGCGCAATTCATCGTCGATTCCCAGGAAAACATGGGAGAATATGGAAAGTGGGGGGGAAGACATAAACCCAGAAAATATGGGAAAATATGGGGGACCTTTGTATTTGTGTGTGTGTTTATTTGTGTGTCCCAGGGCCCCTTCATACAGACTATGCAAGAGGATTGCGCCATTCTTTCGAACCCCCAAAGCGAAAACACATCGGCGATGGTCGCGCATATCAGGTCGGAGCTGCAGTGGCTGCGTTCGGCGTGGGTCCGAGTGCCGTGGGGTTCGCATGCCCCGATCGTCGCTTCCGTGCACGGAGGCCCCCAACGGGGCTAGACGATATCCGCGTCCACTGCCTTCTTGGGTCCTGGGACATCGACTCCACAGGCGGCGGTTGTGCATCAGTTCTGGCCGCCTCGGGTCAGGGGATGTTGATGCCAGTGTGCCCGCATCTTTACAGGAGAGGCCAGGGTGGAGGGTTTCTCCGAAGGGCTTAGGCGACCCGTCCTCCTCCTCCTCCTCCTTCTCCTCCTCTCTCCTCCTCCTCCTCCTCCTCCTTCTCCTCCTCCTCCTCCTCCTCCTCCTCCTCCTCCATCTTCTCCTCCCCCACCTCCTCCTCCTCCTCCTCCTCCTCCTCCTCCTCCTCCTCCTCCTCCTCCTCCTCCTCCTCCTCCTCGGGTCGCCTACGGCCCCTGGGGAAACCGTGCAGGCCAGGGGTGGTAGTGGTGTGCACTTCTGGCCGCTCTTGCGAGGGGGGGCATCCTGCGCACTGGCTACCATCGGTGGCTGGGAAGTGAGGGCGAAGTGATCCCAACCGGGGAGTCGGTCTTGGTATCGGTTCGCGTCGCGCCTGCGGGCGAGGCGAAGCCGTGCGAAGGCGACGATGTGTCGGCCGCGGTTGAGACAAGGTCGGGCGAACCGTTTTCTCTCGCTTCGCGGGGTGCACGTCCGGAGCACGTTGAGACTGGGAGTTTCGGGAGCCTTGAGACGGGGGTCAATGCAAACGGGGGTCAGCCACGGCACCGGATTCTGCAGGATCCTGCGAAGACCCCCCCTGGCTGACCCAGGTTAGCGAGCCGCTCGTGGCCGTGAGGCGGCCGCGCATATTGGCTGACCCGGGTTTGCGAAGACCTGCGTTGCAGTTTTTGGTTTCCTGCTGACCCGGGTCTGCATTGACCCGGGTCAGAAGATCCCCGAGAGTTGCGTGGTCTGCCGAGAAGAAGTTCTGCCGTGTCGTTCTGCCCGCCCCAGGGTGCTGCCAGCCCCACGGGGGGCGGATGCGCCCCCCCTGGTTACAGCGCTGGGACGAGCGTGGTAATGTCTAGGAGTGCAATGAGCATTCACTCCAGTCAGCACAAGGCAACGCCAAGTTCAAATTCCGCGGGTCTCTTGGTGGTTTCTTTTGGCCGTTTGGGGGCTTCTCTGCGGCATTTTGGAAACTTTTTGGGGCCCCCTGGAAGCCTCTCAGGGGCCCCCTTGGGGCCTCTTGGGGCTTCTTGGGGCCTATTGTGGCTCTCTTGGATTCCTCTCGGGTCGTCTTGGGGGCCTCTTGAGCCTTTTCGGAGCCTCTGTGGGCCATCTTGGGGCCCTCTTGGGCCGTTTTTGGGCCCTCGTGGGTGGGGGCCTCTGGGGCCGTCTCGGGGTCACCTTGGAGGCTGCTTGGGCCATGGGCCCCGAGTGTCGAAAAGGCGAGAATGCGAAACTATTAAAAAGCCAACCGGAATTCCGCTCTTCAGGCCTCTGGTGGTGCTCTCGGGCGCCTCCTTGTGGCTTTCCGGGGCCGTCTTGGGAGCCTCTTGGGTCCTCTTGTGGCCATCTTGGGCCGTCTTGGGGCCGTCGTGGCCCGTCGGGAAGCTGCATTGAGCAGTCTTGAGGCCCTCTTGGACCGTTTCCCTCTTGGAGGCCCCGGAGGCCAATATCATATATTTTCCATGCGTTCGGGTGTGTTGTTGGGCCCCCAGAGGGGGTTTGCCAGTTAGGTCCGCGGATGTGGCGCGACTCCAAGAGCGGGGTTAGGGGGAGACACAACGTGCAGGAGTACACGATGTAGCAAATGTGTACCACTGGATCCATGGGACACATTGCGTTTAGGCGTTAGCCAGAAAACGCTGCCGCTCAGCACGCCGCCTCCGGACATGAATCCAAACGGCTCGCGCCATGCCGCCGA